GGGGGGCTCTATCTAATTTTCATATTGAGGTGACCCCAAAGAGGTAATAAACAGAATTCTATTCTTAATGATATCCCATTATTATTATTGAAGTGACCCCAGCATGGACTCGATCCGGCATGCCTGCCCTGTCAAGGACACCTGAGTTTGAAACACAATACACGTATTATACGTGAAGAGAAAGTAGAAAGCCATGCCAATTGGAAAGGTCGATAGAATATTTCTTTTTCTTTTTCTTTTTCTTTTTCTTTTTCTTTTTCTTTTTCTCTTTCGTTTTCATTTTCTTTTTCTCTTTCCTTTTTAAAATTTTCTTTTCTTCTTTTTTTTCTGTTATGATGGGCCGCTCGCTTTGTCGATTGCCAGGCCAGTGGATCGCGGGGAATGAGTTTGTCCTTTTGGGGGAAAACAGAGTGACCACAGATTGGTCATGAGCTCTACGTGTGGGGGGTCGTCCAAGGACCTTATGACCTCCTTTGGGTCGACCTGTTTGTGGGACGCTTGATTTGGTTTGCTTTGACAGATGTTTTATTACACCTGCAACATTTTAGGTCATATATATCGACTGTCAAAGATTAGAGTTACAAGAGATTAACAAATCTATTTTAAAAAATTAAATTTAAAAAAAAGATAGCAAAGGAGGACAATAAATCGTGATAAAAGAAACAAACCACACTAGAATACCCACCAACCGCCCACACTGTTGTCGACAACACAACCTCCATGATATACTATTATATAAAAATAAGTGTATACTCATGTGCAGGTATCAATAGTTTTAATTTAGTCACGAGCACGCAAGCACGCACGCACACACGCACGCGCACATACACACACACATACACACACACACACACACACACACACACACACACACACACACATATATGTATATACGTACGTGCATACTTACACATACACACACACACGCACACGTACATACATGCACTCATGCACATACACATACACATACATACAAAAGCTCACACTTGAACAATCAAAGTTAATCGTTTATGACGTCTCGTTCTTGTGTCGAAGTGTTTCTTTTCATTCACACTAAATGATAAATAACCGATGTTTAGAGGGCGATGTGCTTCTCTTCACTTACTCTAATTGGCAATTATTGTGTCCATGTGCGTGTTTTTAACTGAGACTGAAACCCTCATGAATCTGAGTAGTTTTGGCCACTCGACACTGAAACAACTAGACGGGTCCAGACATCATAACTCGGAGGTTCGAAAAGTTGATATCACTTTTATTTATTTATTTATTTATTTATTTATTTATTTATTTATTTATTCATTTATTTACATGTTTGTTTGATTGTTTGCTTGCTTGTTTGTTTGTTTGTTTCTTTGCTTGCTTGCTTATTTGTTTGTTTGTTTGTTTTTTCATTTAATTTATTCATTTATTTAATAACAATATGGTGCTGCGACAAAAACAAGATCGATAGACAAACACAACCAAGAGAGAATCTAGAAGCAGTGCTTTCTAACCTGGACGGTATCGCTCGTTAGTCCGGCACTAATTGGTAATTTTGGTTGGCAGTATCGGTCACTGGTCGGGGATTTGATCATTTTAGTGGGCGCTGAGGATCACCCACGTAACGTGACAGGTGTTATTTAATGCCTCGTTTGAAACTATATGTACATATGTACGTGTAGGTGGGCGGTGTCGTGTGAATATTGTCGCTAATTAAAAGCGGTAAATGTGGGCTCTGGCTATAACAAGGATGACATGCACTAGTCTTGCAGCAGGACCCACCAGTGACACCCTCCAACCAACCGTATAATAATTCTGTTTTATTTGTCTGAGTTTAGAGATACACATCGACATAATTTCGGCCATTTAGCGTTAGGACAAAAGCACAGATCGGCAGAAACAATAAAGGGAGAGTATGAAAAACAGGGCGTACCCAGTGGCTCCTTCCAACCGCGCTCGAAATGATTCATCATCTTATCCCTCCTCGGACACTATACTTAATACCGGTGTCTCTGAGGCGGTGAGCTTGTGAGCCCATCATCCGCTTTTCCAGCGAAACAACAAAGGAAGGCGGATGCGTGAGATGTGTGGGATGTGCGTGTGTGTGTGTGTGTGTGTGTGTGTGTGTGTGTGTGTGTG